GATAGATAGATAGATAGATAGATAGATAGATAGATAGATTTTTTTAGCAATGGCTTGCACCGACATGCAAGAAAATGTTAGGAAACGTCAAAAAAATTGATATTAGTGGTCTTGGGAGGCTTCATATGATGAGATCAGACTCTGGTGTGTGTGTGTGTGTGAGAGTAGGACTGCGGGTCATTACAAAGGACCAGTGGATCTGAAGTCTGGTTCAGCTGAGGAAATGGTTTCGAACATCTCGATGACTAATCGAGAATGTTGAAACAATTATATATAGCCGGGTTGTTTTTCTTCGAGAAAACAACCTATGGCACTGTCGGATGGGCGGGGGGGAAACAAAAAAAGCTGTTTTCTTTTCTGTGGGTAAAAGGGTGATTTTGTATCAAAGTAACAATATTTCCATTGATAATAGTGAGATAAGAGGTGTTGAAATATTCTCATTCCTCAGTCTTCACTCCTCTTTTGTTGTTTGTTTATGACCTCTTTGGCTCGGAGTCAAAAGCACTGCAAATCAAAGTGAGAGCTGCTCCAATGTTGTTAAAATTGCACAAGGAAAGTATTTTTGCTTTTCAAGACTGAAAACAAAGTGAGGATTTGAAACGATTTTCTCGTATGAGTTCTTTGCACGTATTATGAGACTGGGAAAGAAAAAGCTGTCTGTCTATTTATCTATTTAACTTTCCACTCTAATTTAATTTCTTGACGTGTACATTTACTTTTGTGTTTGCCTGCCCTGGAGCCACAGATGGAAATGAGCCGGGGGCTAAGTCTGCTCCGAGGCGTTTCTACCCACAACAATACAAACTGTTAGCCATAAATAAATGAATCTTTCCTCTTCCAACAGCAGAACGTATGGTGGTCGAAATGACTTTTTTGTTGTTTTTTTGCTTTGTTTTGGGGTCTGTTACTATGACCAATGATAATTCCATGTTGGTAATCACAACAGTTATTAGTAAGATTTGATTTCTTTTCATTCTCAGCTATTTTAAATCTTATTTGATAGTCTCACCCTGTTAGATCCCTGCGTTTGCTTACAGCCATACTTACCAAAAGATCAAATCAAGTCAATATAATGATAAATAAATCATTCATTTATATAAAAAACTACCCAAAAACATTGTGCAAAACATTCAGAGACTCCATTTCTTTAACATTTGGGCCCTGGCAGAGTGAATTCATTTATTTTACTGGGTCTATTTTCTTCGGCTCAGGCTAACGTGTGTGCTGTTGCTTCTGAGGCTGTGGTTTAAAGCCTGTGGTTCATGTGGCAGATATGGTTAATTTGCTTTCCTAATTCTATTAATTGACTCAAAGACCTTTGTAAGGGGTTCGCCACCGTTTGAAGTGCTCTGTGGTCTTACGCAGCCCTTGTAGGTCCACAAATGAACAGAGCACTGAATAATTTGTGCTTTACAGTGGAAACAACCAGCATTTCAACTGGGATGTTGTAAATATGAACTGTTGTTTTTCACTTAATACCTCAGAACTGACTAAGCCTGGGTGACCTGGGTGATTGAGAACCCACACCAACCAGCAAAGCGTAGATTATCTAACACCCTAAAGGAGGCCAACAGAGAACGGTTTTGTTGTAAAACAAACAGTGAACTTACATAATGAGCTGCGTGTGCGGAGATGCTGTTCACCGTCACGTCGTTAAAGCGTACAGTAAACAGATAATTAAACTTTTTGTTTGACAAGATTGTCTTTGGCCTCCAGTAGTCCGGGAGACGAAGTGATTTGCGCTTTTGCAAAGTCAACGTTTTAAATTAGAGGGCAGAGACTCTCAACCTTTAGAGCTTTTTTTTTTCCAACTTGTTTAGGTGCTCCTTCTTTTCAACAGTGCATGTCACTTACAGCACATGCCAGACAGGGAACCATTATGAGCCCTCAGTGTTTTGTGATGTGTGGAGTGCTAAAGATAGAAGCCAGACAGGACACAGCATTGCATTATGAGGCCATCAAGAACTCCCCCTCTAGATATTCAGCAACATCTCGATTGCAGTTTAGAAAAAGAAGATACTTTATATCAATTCCAAGAGATGGAATCTAAGTCATTACCTCTAATTTCCTTCCTGATCATTCAGGCCTTGAAACTAACGGGCCAAGATCAGGAAATCGTTTCAATCCCAACAAAATTGTCACAGCGTCCAATTTTGTCGATGATCCCAAAAAAAAGAAATATTTGTCATGATAGAAATGTGACAGAAAACGGTGGTTAATCTGTCGCTAATCAAGTGTCATGACAAAGAAGGAAACACATTTTTATTCTTTAAACTCACAGATTAATAAAGGACAGTGATAAAAAAAACAGGTCAAGTCCCAAGCACAAACATTGCCTCAGTGATTTGCACAATTATTCATTCAAGAATACCTCGGACAACAAACACAAACAAGGAGTGAAAACATCCTTGAAGATGCAATAAAGAATGGATGGATAAAGATGGATAAAGAAGGTCAACAGCAGTTTGCTGGTCCGAAACATTCAGGTGTGTCTTAACTGAATGCAAAAGAGGAAAGACATAAGCCATGATCTCCAATGGACGAGCTGTAAGACCATTTCCTAAAAGTTTGTGAGAACTGTGAGAAAGATTATCCACAAGTGGAAAACATCTGCCGAGCTTCCCAGAGTGGACTTTCCAGTAGGTTCACCCAAAGGTCACACTGTAAAACTCAGAGAAACAGACAAAAAATGCTACAACTAAGACTCTACCAACCCCACTTAGCATGTTAAGTACCCAGAACAATATCATTTGGACACAAGGTTCAAACAGAGGTCCACAAAGATATTTTTTGTGCTTTAAAACACTAAACAGAACATATGACAGGGTTTAAACCAATTAGTTTTATTTTAAGTTTTCATTCCCTCTTGTGCAATATTTAAAGTCCAAGCCAGTATATTTCAGATATAAATCAATAATCAACAACTCAAAAGCAACCCAACTACAAAAGCCCCTGCCGGACAGCGTGATTGGCTCTTGTGGAGCCAATGTGCCTGTGAGCAGAAGGGAGACTCCACAGAAACCGTTCAGAGCCACTGCTCCGGCCACTGGAGACGTTTCATGCGTTCCCATGATTCTTGGACCCGGTTCAAACAGAAGGGATGCCGGGGCAAAGTCCACTTGTTTTGTAGCAACTGAGACAAATAGAGCCCCGAGCGGTAATAACAGCAAAAGGACATCTCTGGTGGTGAACGTGTTCAAAAACAGGAGATGAGGTTAAATGTGGCTCGGGCCAGCGTGAAGGAACACATCTGTTGTGCCGTCCTTGAACCCCCCGGGATAAGACGTGACTGTACTGGAGTGAATAGATCACATAACAGGGTTCCCGTTGGGGGGGGTTAGCTGGTGAACAGAAGTCTATGGCATCAGAAATTCGTTTTTCTTTCTCCGGTTTGAGGAGACGGGAGGTTGGGAATTGAAAAGGGAGCAGATCTGGGGCTGCGGATGCAAAGCAAGCACCATAAAGATAGCTATCCTCACAATCAGCACATGGATCAGATGAGCCCAATCGCTCCCAGACACCCGAAGCCGCCCGGCAATCAAGCGCTTTGGTCATGGAAACTGTGATACGCAATTTACGTTATGGGTCTCTAGGAAACTGAGTCGGCATCAGTAAACACGCTCAGGCACAGACCCGGGTGCTTCTCCCACCACGTTTCAGCCATGAGAAAAACAGAGATGGAGCTCAAAGGACAAAAACAGCGGGATGTCTAAACGGGATGTCTGCTCTCTAATGCTTCACGTTACTCTCAGGATGTTGGACCTTCACTGAGCAGAGAAAGAGCTGCTTCACTGTCTGATGATGTAAGCCGAAACTTCAACTGCCTTAAAAGGGAATTTTTAGTGACCTTTAGAAATATCTTTTATTTCTTTTGAGCAATATTTGATCACCTCTCCGAGCAGTAAAACACAACCAAACACACATCACTATTCAAGCAGAAGATTTTATTTAGATCTTTTTCTACGTATATTTTCAGTTACATTTGAAGGATTTAATGAGAACAATGGGTAATTCCACCAAAAATAACAGGAAAAGTAGGTTTTGAGACGTGTGCACTTTTGAAGTCTATGCTGGCATGCCAGTTCCATTTAGGACTAATGGAATTCAATATGTGTGAAGACGTTTTTCTAAACTCGTGTTTTCAATGGAACATCCTGAGAACATGACAAATTGTTTTCAAAAGGAATTTTCTTTCAAGGAAGTCCCATCTTGAGGTCTGTGGCCTATCCACAATAACAAAGGCATTGTTGCGTATGTCACGAGCGCCACGAATCAAATTTTCATCTCAGTTTTAACCAGTTGAAAAGAGATCTAAGCAAGTAAAAGGATGTCTGAAGGTACAGAGGGGGGAAAACACTGTGATAGATTTATAAAAATAATATTTTGTTTTTGCCATTCGAATTCCAAACATTTTCTTCTGTGACATGATTCTATGTGTTTATGGGAAGCTAAAACGGGAAAACGGTCAGGACGATGAGGACTGAAGCTGCTCTTGATTAGGGCAGAACTGTATGTGCTGCCATGCTGCAGAGATTTGCAAACACAAAAACAAATCCCTAATTTTGAGTACCCTTTAAGCTAATTACTTGCAGGCGTATTTGCCTGTTGGCTTTGACACGAGACAACATACAAAACTGCTGGTGCTTCTTTAAGAAACCCACTTTGGATAAACAGTTTTAAACAATTCAGACCTCCCTCTGCAGAGGTGAACACAGACAGCATTCCGGGCTGGTAATCAGGTGCATTCCCATTCGGATTTATGCAGGATCAGAAATGCTAAACGTCCTCATTTTGCATTAATTGAAGCTTTATGGAAATCTTTTCTTGCAGTCATCTATTAGGTTGCCTTAAAAAAGAAATGTACTGTACACTTGACTGTCCCTGAAACTGATGTCCTCTAAAAGTACTCAAAATATTTATGCAGAGTTTATTTTAGATTTGGGTTCACTCATTTTTCTTCACTGTCTGGGTCCCCGCAAAACTATGTTCAACATCTATTCCCCTTTTTCCTGGGGGTGGGGGGGTTTGCAGCCTATCCCGTTTCCAAAACACACTCCTGTGAATGTGAAGGGCTGCTGCTCTGAGGACTGCGCAAAAGGCAGACAGTCGCTCCAAAAAGAGAGACGGGAGAGAAAAAGGATCTCCCCTCTCCACTTTGCGCGTAAGAAATCACCGGGATTTGCAGCAAATTGGAATGAAACAACTTCTACATTTTCAACACTTTAGCAGTAACTCGCTTTAGGCACGGTGAGGTTACCGCCACATAAAGGAACTAATGAGTTTTTTCCCTTTCTTTTTTTTTTTTTTTTTTCTTGCAGCGCATCCGTTTTACGCACACGCGCTCTGAAATTTGACTCGACTTTAAAAAGCCACCGCTGCAGTCGCGAGCAAGAGAGCGACGTGTTCCCTCAGCGGGAGCATCAGGTAGCTCCATATACGGATTAAGGGAGGCATCTCGCAGCCCCCTCTGGCTCTGGATCGGCTAGGGCGCACGGAGGGGGGCAGTGCCATGCTCACTCCTGACAATGCGCCGCTCCTGAGCGAACCCAACCGGTCCCTGGTCCTCAGTCCCGCTGATGAACTCGTGATGGGGACCTGCGGGAACGCCACGGACCACCGCAACGGCTCCGACCCGTTCGCGAGGAACGAGGCGGTCGCCCAGATCGAGATCATGGTCCTGAGCGTCACCTTTGTGGTGGCGGTGGTCGGAAACGTCAGCGTCCTGCTGGCCATGTACAACACCAAGAAGAAGATGTCGCGCATGCACCTCTTCATCAAACACCTCAGCCTGGCCGACCTGGTGGTCGCCTTCTTCCAGGTTCTGCCCCAACTCTGCTGGGAGATCACCTTCCGCTTCTACGGCCCGGACTTCCTGTGCCGGATAGTGAAGCACCTCCAGGTGATGGGCATGTTCGCCTCCACCTACATGATGGTGATGATGACCCTGGACCGCTACATCGCCATCTGCCACCCGCTGAAGACCCTCCAGCAGCCAACCAAGCGCTCCCACATCATGATCGTGTCCACGTGGATGTGCAGCCTGGTGCTCAGCACCCCGCAGTACTTCATCTTCTCCCTGAGCGAGATCAAGAACGGTTCGGACGTGTACGACTGCTGGGCGCACTTCATCCAGCCCTGGGGCGCCAGGGCCTACATCACCTGGATCACCGTGGGCATCTTCCTGGTCCCCGTGGTCATCCTGATGATGTGTTACGGCTTCATCTGCCACAGCATTTGGAAAAACATCAAGTACAAGAAGAGGAAAACCACGGCCGGAGCCGCCGGCAAGAATGGGCTGATCGGGAAGAGCTCCGTCAGCAGCGTCACCACCATCTCCAGAGCCAAGCTGAGGACGGTCAAGATGACTTTCGTCATAGTTTTGGCCTACATCGTCTGCTGGGCGCCGTTCTTCACCGTGCAGATGTGGTCGGTCTGGGATGAAAACTTCCAGTGGGATGGTGAGTTTCAGAAATCATACAGCTCCGTATGAATAGATTTCCAGCCAACTTCAAACTTCAGACAGACTTAACAAAACAGTAAAAAAAAATAAAAAAAGATGATATTAAAAAGAACTATGTGCAAAGAAAGGACAACTTATAGCCATTAAGGATTTTGACTTGTTTTACATGTTGAAAAACTAAATATAGTTCAGATTAATATACGTAGTAGGCCTACTAATGACTTTATATGTATTAAGATTACTGTTATCAGTCTTGGATGCTTTTTTTCTACATTTATTAACTGTTTCCCGTTTTGAAAATACCCAGAAAAGACGTATTCCATTCTGATGTTTGACCAAAATTATTATGAATAAATATATTTATATATATATAATATATATTTAGTGTTTAGGTTTTGTCAACTCAACCAGAAAGTGCCATGCCGGCCAGTTTTGCCAGCAGTATCCCACGATAAAGACACTTAAATACACTAAATATCGTCGTGTTTGTTTATATAAAAAAGCTCTGTTCTCTAAATGAACGTATTTGCCACATTCCTCTCTTCCTCGAGGCAAAATAGGCCCCATATTCAAACACCACATGAGCTGGGTTCCAAAGCCATCTCCGCGGCCTTGCCTCCACCAGATGTTTTGCGGATTAATCATCCTCCCCCCCCCTTCCCTCCCCTCCCTCCCCCCTTCCCTCTCTCTGCTCCTCAGATTCTGAGAACACAGCGGTGACTCTGTCTGCGCTCCTTGCCAGTCTCAACAGCTGCTGCAACCCCTGGATATACATGATCTTCAGCGGTCACCTCCTCCAGGATTTCGTGCACTGCTTCTCCTGCTGCCACAAGATGAGCGCCGACTACAAGAAAGAGGACTCGGACAGCAGCATCCGCAGGACCACGCTGCTGACCAAGATGACCAATCGCAGCCCGACGGGCAGCACCGGCAACTGGAGAGAGCTGGACAATTCCCCCAAGACCTCGGCTCACACAGAGTGAGCAGGCAGTCGGGACATCGAGATACGTGTCGGAAATGCCTGGTCGGGGGTAAAATAACCCTAAATTTAAGAAGCTTCTTTTCGTGGAGCACGAAGCTCACTGAGGAGACCAAAAATCGAAAGAAAATGGAGAGCTTTTCACCTGGATTCTATGTCAATATATGATCTTTATCACCCTAAATACAAAAAATATTGAGAAAAAACGTTGTCAAAGAGGGTCAAGGTGCAAAATTTGGTTTCAAAACGACATTTTTCTCCAAACCCTGTCAATATTCTTATAAATTCAAGCATTAGAAAGCTTCAAGTTATCATATCCAGACACCTCCAGAGGAGATTCCAGGATTCCTGACAGTTTTACTGTTGTTTGTGTCTCCATGCAGTGCCGCCAAACACCCTTTCCTGTTTGAGTGTTTACAAAGATAAAACTCCCTGTGCTCGCTGGTAGAAATGACTCTTCCAGACGGCTTGTCACTAAGTAACTGAGGCAGGCACCTCATCCCCTGTGTTTGTATTTCCATTTTGGGGGTTTTGTCTTTCCCCTTGTGGATGGAAGGACGTGAACACGCTGATTATCAGAAAAAAAAAGGGACGAAAAATCACGATAAATGTGAGGTTTGGCGTGCATATGGACTTTTTTAAAAAGCCGTTTCATGTTGCAGTCGGCAGTCCTTTTGTCTAGCTCCCCGAACTTTGGCTTTTAACTTCTGCTCAGGAGTGCACGTACACACTCGCGATTGGGGGTGAGGGGGGGGGCGCTCTGATGAGGTGAGACCGGCCACTGCTGGATGAGTCCACACACCTTTACACAGGCCGTTCCCATGGCAGAATGTTGGAGAGAAAGCTCGCACATTCCACACAATACACGTCAGCACTGTTCCTTTTATTCTCTCTTTTTTTTTTTTTTTTCTTCTGACATCCTGCGCCATTGGGGGCTTTGTGTTTTGGCTTCATTTGCACTCAAGATGAAAATCGTTTCCTGCACGTTAATGTGATGGGAAGCACTATAATGGTTGTCAGACCACAACAAAAAGCCCCAAAAGGACATGTATATTGTAACAAAACTCTATTCATTTGGTATTATGTCTGTACATGTAGGTGCACTGCGATGTATGAATGTTTGTATCATAATGTAAAGTATTTGTACATAAAAGGCACTTAAATATATGTTAAAAAAAAAAAAAAACGGAAGGAATAATATATGTATATCTCTGTTCAAGTTCTATCTGTTTGCAAATGTTTGTGCTCGTTGGAAAAAAAAAAACAACTAAAAATGCCCTGAATCTGTCAAAATATACACAGTGATGTTCTGAATACTGATGACTTTGTTTGTGATTTCCTTGCAATCGCTGCACAGCCGCAGAAACGTATGGCCGTGATTCTTTTGGGAAATTGAGCAATTTTTGAATTTATATCTCAAGCCAATCTAAGCACTGAAAGCTGGCCAGACGCTGGGATTACACAACTTATCAATTCAGAATAGTGCAAGTCCAAAAGCTCTGTTATAAAACAGGCTTCTTTTTTTCTTTTTTTTTGCAAGCTGACAACAATTAAACAATACCCTATAACAGCAGATTCCTTAATGGCTCAAATGGGATTGATGGTATATTGCTTAGTCATAAAAATAATAAATCATAAGGGTGCATTAAGAAGCCAGTTTTCCCATATTGACTAAGAAAAATCCTTTTGCTTTTAGCTTAGTTTGCTGGATCCAGTTTTCAGAGATCAATGACAATTTATCAGTTACTGCAGAACTGTTGGAGAGGGTTGACATTTCCTAGTTTAAGTTATGATTTTTCCTATTTTTTGATTAAAGGAGATCGTTGCTCACTGCTTTTGGACAGATGTGGCCATTAGTAGAACAAAATGGTGATCCGCCCTGTGATACTACAGTTAGCATCTGCTTAGCTTAGCGGTTCAAAGCATGGAGAAATAGTTATCTCTCAAATGTATATTGTTTAAAAGCAACTCCACTTGTCGTTTAACCTCTGCTGATTTCTTAGCTTTGCACAACTCTTGAAGTTTAAACACATGAACTTGTGGTTTACAGAATTTGGTTGTGGAGCAGTGATTCTCAGCGTTATTTTCTCAGTTCTTGTAAGCTCACAGATGACGCATAAAGAAGACAATTTGTCATCTGGGCCTAATTTAAGGGTAGGATAAGCTCAGGCTAAGGCTAGGCTTGTCATTTCCAGGACTGGATTTAAACAGTAAAATTTCAGTTAAACAGCTTTTTTTCCGTGTTTGTGTTTTTTTGCTGTTCAGATTTGTTGCTTTATTGTCTTAGACTGGTCCAAAGGAAATTTAAGTGGCTATTTTGAATCACTTTTGGAAAACTATACATTGGTACATGTTCAGTGAGCATATTGTCATTAAAATTTTGAAACCCAAAAGTTGTTTTTCATAATCATACATCTATCAGTCAGGTTTTCAGTCAAACAGAAAGCATGCCACATCATTTTTTTTTCTCAGAAAACGTTATTTTCAAACTTCTCATTTATCTGCCGTTCATATTCCATTTTTTTCTGGAACTTTTGTCATGTTAACCTTCAAAACAGTGATGATCAAATCCCGTTGAAACATTGGAAAGCTGGAAATTCTTTGATCTTCAGATAATTTACCACATGTTTTCATGAATAACCGGCAGAAGCTTCAAATGAAAATGATTAGTTTTACAGCCATGTTTCACTCAAAAAACATATTTCTGAACATGGAATACTTTATGACTGATGGAGATTGTGGGCTAAATCTCGACAAAAGAATGAAAGATGCCAGGAAATTATTCTAAAAGGTTTAGAAACATTTGTGTTCAGTCATGTGGAGATTAGAAGGGATTTTTACACAGAAAAATAACAGTCAAAATCGCCTGTTTCTGGATATGTGCCAAATGAGAAATCCCATTTTTCATTTATTAAACTAATCAATTGCATTACTTAATCCAACCAAATTACATTTGATATTTTATTAACAAGAAATTACAATAATACTTTAAAGATTTTAATGAGAGATTTTTCTTACCATCCTCCAATCGCGTGAATATGAAATAGTGGTATATTTTTGACAGCAACGGTTTTCACATTTTTCTCCAAAACAAGTCATCCGAAATCCTTGTTATCTTCTTCATTTCAGTTTATCAGTGACCATCTGACCTTGTAACACAAAGCTCTGGCGTTTATATCTCAGACGTCTGTATGAGAAGAATGTTCTTAAAGTCCCTCAAATCCCTCAGAGTGACTTAATGCCTCTCGAGCGGCTTTTTGATTGAGGGGAATAAAACAGGGAATAAAACAAGTATGAGGCAAAGCAAACAGGTATGACCTGGGATCATGCAGTTATCAGTTTGATTTACGGCCCGGTGGAGAGAAAGAACTGTTTGATGGACATATCTCAAATTTCCCAGTCTAAAGCCTTCATGAAGTAGCATGCCTCCGACTTACTTGCCACGTTAACACGCTTTCGGAAAAGGTTATCAGTCTGAACTATGCAAATACCTAAGAGGGTTGTGGCTTAAAGTCTCCAGTTTTGAAATAATAATAATAACACTCTAACTCAGCAAGCCCAAAACACATGGATCATATTTTAAGGGATTTAAAACAAGACACATGAGCGTATAAGAGTCTTTTTTTCTTTATCTTTACATCAGCGGATTTACCTCTCACAGTGCTACCACTCAATAAATTTAGCTTTTTTCGGAGATCAAATGATTTACCCTCTCTGTTACGATCAGTAACTCGCCGGTTACATCACCCCACTGCCGCCAAAACACTAAGAGATATGAAAATCAATTTCAATAAGAAAGTCTTTCAAAAAGGTAATCGGATGAGCGCGGGGAGGCAGATAAGAGGATAAGGCCGGGCCTGTGTGAAGTTTCGCAGCAACAGAGACCCGCATATCCTTTGAGGTGTGATGCACACAGACACCTCGGGCTAAAGCCAGGATGGAGGCTCAATTCAACAAGAGGGTGGACGGGTCAGTCAGAGCCCCACGGTCATCGGCGTGACGACCATTGTTTCCTGACTCACCTTTGAAATACCGCCTGTCTCTCATACTGTCAGGAGGGTGGATCTGGAGGGAGATGACGGAAGACAAGGTTTATTGTAACAAAAAACACTCATGAGTGAGTGAATGTCCAGACATGGTACAAATCAAGGCTGTGGAAAACTGTGAGCAAAGTATCAAAGCAATAAGTAAACAAGACTGCGGCAAAGTAACAAAATAAAGATGAACAAAACTGTGACAAGGCTGTGGTAAAACAATGACAATGGCAAAGTAACAAAATAAAGAACAACAAGACTGTGGCAAAACTATGACCATGGAACAAAGTAAAAGACTATGGCAAAACAGCAAACCTGGACTGACGTGGGGGTGACGAAAGACAGACGAAAGACAGACGAAAGACGAAAAGGACGAAAGGCCGAAAACGCACTGGCACAAGACAAGGGGAAACGAGAACTATTTAAACACATGAGGGAGGGGAACCCCAGGTGTACACAACAGGTAATCAAGACATGACGAGACACCAGACATTCCCCCAGACGTGACACATACTCAGTTTTAAGATATCTCAAGCATTCAAAAATGACCTGAAGCATCAGCGCTCTCTGCCCACTCTGGATTGGTCTCATTGACTGTGACGGGATAGTGGACTCTCCCATGCATTCTTTGACCGGAGCGCTAAGACTCACTGCACGGCTTGGGACCGAGGCCAAGAAGATCCATGCTTCCTTTCTTAATAAGTAAACAACTCCCACTATGTTTTCCTGGCAGGAAACAAGTGCTGTTTCTGTTACAATCCGGACCAAATCGCGTCCACAGCTGGCTTCTCTCCACCTGACACGCCGGAATCTCAGAAATACCCTTCAGAGAAACCATTGTTTGGCGGGCCTGTGTAAACTAAGCTAGCTAAAAAACAGTCAGATGAGCTCCGGAGTTTTTTTGGAACCAATGGGGGGATGCACATGTTTTGGCTGTGTCCGACTGTGGTCAGAAGTCCATCTCCTTGATGGATCTCACATGAGTGAGTCCAAAGGAGGATTCAGAAGAATCAGATGAGACAGCTCTCTCTGTGCCTCCATTACGGCCAACCTCTGTCTTCCTGATCCATTGTTCTTCCTCTATCGCCTTTGAAAATAACACATGCCTCTATTTACTATTGTGTTGTTAATTGCCCCCCCGAGCTCACTCAATCCATTCAAACGAGCAGATCTAAGAATGCCCGTCCATTAAAATCTGGGAGATGATGAAACCTAAAGTTCCGCTGCTTCACACATCGCATCCGCTGGAACAAAGGCGGCCTATAAATAACAGTTGGAAAACGTCGAAAAAGTCCGATAAACAACAGTTTCGTAACTATTTTGTTTGCACAATACCTCTCTGATAACCGCCGTTATCAGTCTGTGACATGATTTTGGAGCTTGTATAACTTTTTGTTTTTCCTTTGTCAAACGCTACGTCACTAAACTGATTTATATCAAGGAAACCGTGTGGAGTTGTGCATCTATTGTCTCAGTCTCAACTGTCCGCATATTTTCCAGGTCAGCAAGTTGTGTGTACGCTTTTGTTTTCCAGCAGAAGAGGCTTTCATTCTGGTATTTCTTTCCTCAAAAGTTGGAGACCGGGGATTGAGAGACCTGACTGTGAACTCAACGAGAAATCTCTTCACTGTTTTCTCTTTTTTGATATTTCTCGGAGAAAACAGAATTACTCATGAACAGAGGTAAAATAAAGAAAAATCAAACATTGCCACAAAACATCAAGCAAGACTTCGATATGAAACCCCAAAGAACTTTTACAAATGGCGGAAAAAATTCAAATTGAGATGTAATTTCTCGGAAACTGCGATTTTGGATGGCAAATTTCAAAGCGAGCGAAATAAACAAGCTGTCATCTTAAATTTATATCCACATAAAAGTGTTTTTTATGATAATATATACAATATATGCTGCTACTGTGGTTCCGTTCCCAGCTGTCCAGGCCATGGTCACCATTAGAGCTTCAATAAACATAACTGGAACTTTCTTCCTGGGTTTAAAAAGTTATTCTTCTCATCCAAAGGGCTTTCCTTCGCTCCAACCAGCTGGTATGTATGACATGACACTCGGTCACCTTTAATTCATCTTCTCCCTTGAGGTTTGGCCCAAATTGTTCCTCACAAGAGGTGCAAATGGTTGCAATATAAAGGCAACTTTAAAAAAAATCTGACTTGGTCGCATCTGAGGCCTACCTTTCAATATAAAGAACGTTTTTCTTTCCCACGGTTTAATGGATAGAACATGTAACCGACTTCTCTCAAAAGATTTGTGAGCCTTTGACCTTACAAACCTGACTCTTCTGTGTTGTGCCTTGCGCCTCTGAAGTTGCTTTTTAGTTTTGCAGACATGAAGACACTTCTTTTCTGCAGTTTCACTCCATTTTCAGTCTCAGTCGTGTTATCCTTTGTAGGACACTGCCTGAGCAAACCCTCGTCTTTTCACACACTGAGAGAAAAGTAGAGTTCCTTGCAGCGCGCTGACTTATTTCTTGGACTGAAATGACTGATGGCTCACAAACATTTCTGTGAAAAATGGTCAACTACCTTACTGAGAATGGGTGAAAGTGCTGCCCATGCCCAACAGGAACATTTTAGAAAGGCACAAAAAAGAGGCTGGCTGTTTGGAAATGAAACATAAAGAAATGAGGGATTGTGAGGGGTTCTTTTGCACAATAATATAAGACCAGGGTTTTTAATGGGACTAATAAAACATTGGACCAGAGTCACGTACTGTAGAGCTTTCAGACAATTTTCAGACCTGTTTGTTTGAATGGCCTAAGATCCTAGAGATTTTTTATAAAAATCATAATGGATATAACACAAGCAACTTGTCATTCATTCATAAATATTCTAGTCTGGCTTCATCCAGTTTAGGATCGCAATTGGAAAACGGTTGTCCCAGTTGATATTTAAGCTCTTTCCCGTCTAAAGTAACAGTTCCAGTGTCCCAGTGATTTATTTTATATGTGGCAGTTGTATATACGAGTGTAGATTTATTCCTTGTTTTCATTTCATCGTTTATAATCATTTATTTTCTACGTGATTGCTTGTCAAACATATGCAAAGTGTAAAATGCAACAGTTGGAGGTTCCATTAATCCTCTAAAGACACAGCAGAGGGAAAATTAAATATTGCTTTAAAATGTAACTATGAGAATCAATTTGAGCAAAATACTGTGGGCCTGTGTTACATGTATAATGTGGATGTATAAAGCTTGTATCTGCTCCGCTATCCTTTCCCGGGGTGTCATCAGCAGCCTTTGGCAGTAGAGCAAGATCCAATCCAAAGCAAAATGTTGTGTCCATCTGGTCAGACC